ATCAGTCCTAAAATTTTAAATTCTTTAGAAAAGTTTTATTAGATCCTATTTCAAATAATATTTTATCAAAAGTGAATAAAGCAGCTCAAATAACAAAATGTATATAAATATATCTTTAATTTTAACCTATTTTAATAAAATTATCATACTTATTAACAAAAACAAGTTGTTCTTCTAAAAAACAAAATATACAAAAGACTGTTAAGAAAGACATTTATATAAACAAATGAAAACATCTAAAAATATTTGTCTTTGAGTAGGTTCCAATATAAAGTACAGATGGCGTTGCTGTCCTAAATTGAGATCCCAATAGTACAAGAAGAATAAAGACTATGACCAGAAAACCCAGTTAGCTAAATGTTTGGAGCTCTATCACTACTCAAGTCCAAGCTTCTCTCATCTATATAAACTTATTTTTGAGTAGACTGTAAATAAGCAATACAGTGCATTCGTGTATTTGTGACAGCCGCGTAATTGTGACACTTTCTTTTTATTTAAATTTCCCGGTGTTAAGAGCGCTACGCAGTTAGCACTCGTTTTTCACCATCCCCCATTACACAGATGAGATTTCGTATTGCCGCTGCTCTGCCGGTTCGTTCGAGGAGGGTCGTTTAAAATGTCGTTTTAAAACGTAATTCATAACAAATTGTGTAAATGGCATGTCTAGGAAGTAAGAATTTGGATTCAATGTGAATTTAGTGATGTTTTAGCAGTATATCAAATGTTTACATGTTTTATAACCTAAAAATCATTTTTGATGGCAAATGACGGGGTGTCACATTTAACCGACAAATTGTTCACTGGTTTTAAATGTGACAAAATTGAGGGTTTATTTGTGACAAGAGTAAAACTCTTAATTTTTATCTTTTCGATTAGTGTACCTCATTGTATTATCAGGATACAGTACATACACATTATAGTTACACACTAACGAAATATTATTTAAAAAAAAGCAATTATAGTCCATAATTCATAAAAACTTGAACATTATTTTTATAGATCGAAATCAAAATGCCAAAGAATAAAGAAAAAAAGGTGAAATCCTACACACCAGAAGATCTAGCAAAAGCATTAAAAAATATTAAAGAAAATATCTATTCTGTTAAAAAGGCAGCGGAAGTTTTTCGCGTTCCCCGATCTACACTAATTTCTCGTACCAAAGGTTGGAAAAATAGAAAACAACAAAAGAAAACCCTTGTCGTTCTGTAGACTTGAGCCCCGAAGTAGAAGAAAAGTTGGCGTTTTATTTTATTTAAAGACCGAAATGGGGTTTCGGTCTTTCCCGGAAAGAGATACTGGTACTTGTTGAAAGATATGTGCAAGAAAATAATGTGCAAACTCGTTTTAAAAACAATACCTGGAAAGGACTGGTTTTTGGGTTTTAGAAAGCGACATGATCCTTCTTGTAAAAATACCTATAAAAAGATCAATTATTAGAATAAAACAGACGATGCCGGAAATAATGTGGTTTTTACGATTTGTATGAGTCTACATTGAAAGAAATGGGATTACATGATAAACCAAGCCAAATTTTTAACCTCCACGGGACATCATTACGCTCTGACCCATCAAATACCAAGGTTGTATTAGCAACAAATCAACCTGTGTTTCGTCAAACTGCTGGTACTGGTAGAACTAACACGTCGATATTATTTACAATTTCGGCAAATGGTGATAAGATACCTCCATTTATCTTGTATGATGCGAAGCACCTATGGGATATTTGGATGCCTGAGGAAGCTTATCCAAACACTGGATATGCTGCTACCACACGCGGATGGATGTATGACGGAAATAGCATTTTTTAACTGGTTTAAAAATCACTTTTTAAAGCATTGACCAAAAGATCGGCATCTTCTTGTTATTTTTTATGGTCATTCATCGCACTCATCTTTGGATCTAATAGAATTAGGTATTAAGGAAAACATTTGTCTTCTCAAACTACCTCTGCACACGACGCATATTCTGCAGCCGTTGGGTTCGCTCGCGTTTGGTGTTTTTAAAAAAATCATGGGATGAAGAATTAACTGTATGCAGCGACAACACTACGGACGTCCCCTAACCAAAGCAGACTTCTCTATTTTAGTAGGAAAAATTTTGACAGAATTTCCACATAAAATTGAAAAAATCATTTCAGTTAACTAGTTTATTTAATCATAACAATCCAGATAACCCTGTAAATAGAACTGTTGTTAAAGAATCAATCTTCAGACTAAATGATCTTCAAGAATATTTCAAAAAACAAATTACAAACAATGCTCAAGAGGAAGTTTTACCAGTTCGTGACGTTGAAGTTGAAGGGAAAAACTTAGGGTCAAGAAGAAGATGATATGGAACCGGTTCCTACTACAAGTAAAAGCTTAACTCCTTGTACTAGTAAAGGCCCAATTACCTATTTTGAATCTCTGCTAATAGTCAAGATTGCAACAGAAAATAAAGACGCCGAGACATGGGCGTCGTTACACAATTCTATAGGGGGGGGGGGGCAAAATTTTTAAAAAATTTAGTATGTTTATTGAAAAACAAAGAAAATTAAACATAAAAGAGAATTTTCTTATGATGGATTTAATTATTCTGTGACGTCATGGCTTACTTCTGGTTTTTCCAGAAATAACAGAAAATCGCAATTTATTTTTTATTTTTAAATGAAAACCCTTTTTCTTATTGAAAATTTGAATTTCTGGTAGATATTTGTATAAGAAGCGTGTATTGAATATTTTTTCAGTAACATATTAAAAAAAATATGTTCCAATATGATGATCACTTTGACAGCTGACAAAAAATTTTCAACACATGATTCTTATCCATAAATGTCCCTAAAATTCAAATGTTCAATAAAAACGGGGGTTTCTATTAAAAAATTAAAAATAAATTGAGATTTTGTTATTTCTGATGAAACAGAAGTAAGCCATGAAGTTACACACCAATTGAATCCAGTATATGAGAGTATTTGTCCCAAGCTTTTAAACAAATAAGTTTTCATTCCAGTATCTCAATTAACAACGAAGATAAAAGCGGATAGAATTATTGAACGGTTTGCTATTAATAAAAATGCTTAGATACGCCACTGGTATACGGTAAATGGGTCTCAATGGGAATTTTGAAGCCTAAAATGATTTTATAAAGTTCGTATATTCCTATATGTTTTTCCATAAACGAATTAATAGTAACATATTTAGAAAAAATATTATCCAATATGGCGGCCATTTTGACAGTGACAGAAAATTGTCAATACACGATTATTATACAAAAATGTCCCAGAAATTTAAATTTGCAATAAAAAAGAGGGTTTCCTTTTAAAAATAAAAAAAAATCTGTTATTTTTGGAAAAATCGGAAGTAAGCCATGACGTCACAGAACAATTGAATCCATCATAAGAAAGTCTTTCAAACAGAACAAAATTAATCCGATATCTCACTGAATAGCGAAGCTAAGGGGGAGTTGAACTGTAGTAGTAACCCTAACAATGTCACTGACCTATTTGACAGAACTGATATTTAAGTTGTCATAAGAAGTCTCTAATAAATAAAATTATCAAACAAAAAAAGACAAAATAAAAGTGTATGGATTTATAAAACAAGTGAAAAAATTATTAATATTATTTTTATTATTATATATTTTTATTACTTGAGCTAAAAAAATTAGTATAATCAATAAAAATCAATAATAAAACATAGGTAGGTAATTACGAGAAAATGTATGAGATCTTGCCTAAGCCTAATAAGTTGTCATTGAAGAATAGGTTACAATAATGTCAAAATAAAAACAATCAACAATCAACAACAATAAAAACAAAATAAAAAACAAACTATTATATAGTAACGTAGAATTAAAACGTATTAACAAAAATAATTGGTATATTTGCGATTGTAATTTAAATTTTCTTCATTTTTAGTTCGAAAGAACCCATAGAAATTAATGATTAAAACTGGTTTCCTATCAATTAGTCATAAGATTGCATTTCAGCCATATACAATAATTAAAGGCAGAAATCTTATCATTTGCTAAACATTTAAGAATTAAGGAATGTTGAAGAATATCATAAAATAATAATTTATTGTTTATTTAAAACCTTTTCTGATGTCTTTTATTTTCAGTATTACTGTTATTATTACAAAAATAAAGGTTTTTTCTTCTTCTTATTAAACAGCTGTCTATTTATATTTTTGATTTAATTTCGATTTTGATTTCGATTTCGATAAAATTCACAATGTTTGGATACTTTATCATTAATGAAAAGCTCATTGTGTGTAGAAAGCTCTTTCGTACTCCAGTTTGGTATTCAGCTTCAAAATTGTCGATTCCAAATTTTTCCACTACTTTCATTTTCTAATCGGTAGTGAAAAAGTATTGTTTTTATTGCTTTTGGGATGTAACAGGCTTAAGGAAAATTAACAGAGTCTTCGGAAAAGCGTGATGTAAGCGACGTAATAAGGGAATCAAGATATCGTCGGCCTAAGATGCAAATGGCCTAACTCCACTTTTTACCAAAGGCACGTTTTATTGGCTACCCGTTAGTTAAAGATCTGTACTGTCGATTCAAAATGGCCTGCCAAGCCTATTTTAAATATTCGCGCCAAAAATTACATGACTCATTTTGTATAACCCCTTTACATTAAGATTAGGTCTAAAAGATTTTTTGCGTTTCCTGAAAAATTTATATTTTGCATCTTAGACCGACGATATTCAATAAATATATTCAACCTATAATATTCTTCAACTATATTAGCCTTAATATTATTATTTCTATATGAGATTGTTGTTCGCATGCATAATCTTACGCGTTGTTGATTAAGTCGCTAAAAGCCAGGGGGGGCAACTGCCCCCCCCCTTACCCCCCACCCCCACCCCCCCGCCCCCCACCCCCCACCCCCCACCCCCCGCCCCCCACCCCCCGCCCCCCGCCCCCCTCCCCCCGCCCCACCAAACGACGCCCATGCGCTGAGATACTAGAGAAGATTATTTATTACAGTTGAAGAAACAGAGCGTTTAAAAGAAAAATGTTAACAAAAAAGAAAATCGTTGAACAAGATTCAGAGAGCGAAATAGAAACTGAAGTTAAAGAAATAGAACACGAAATATCAAGCAGTAGCGATACCGATGAAATTCTAACTCTCGAATATTTAGTAAAAAATAAACAAGAGGAGTTAAATTATGAAAAAGAACTGGAAAACCCTAATGACGTAAAGGAGGGTAGCTGGGCCCTAGTTCATTATAAAACAACCAAAATTACGAAAAGGTATGTTGGACTTATATTGGAAGTTTATGCAAAAGAAGATAAGCTATTGTTTAATTTTTTACGAAAAAAGAGAAATAAAGTATTTGTTTAGCTAATTTCTGAACGTATAGATAGTGTATCTACTGATGCTATACACTATACATATATACTATACTTCCAAAACCCACTGAGGGAAGACGAAATGAAAAGATCTTTTTAGTGAAGTTTGATGGCCTTTATTATTAACTTTTTTTATTTTGTTTTCTTTTAAAATATTTTTTTAATTTCACATTTAGACCATTAAAATAAGTCGCAATTAAAACTACCAAGCTTTATGGATATAAATGTTAATTATTTTGGTGGTCTGTCATAATTAAAACCAATAAGTGTCACAAATAGAATTTTTGTAGGGTAATTGTGACACCTGACATTGTTTTAAAAAAAATCAAATTCCAAAAAATGTATACATATTTTCCAATGAAAGCATTATATGTATTGAATAGGTAAGAAAGTTGATTGGTCAGACGCAGAAATTAAGGCCGTTTTATTACTTTTAACAAATTTACAGGTTTTTTTTTTCTGAAAAAAGAAGAAATCTGTCACAAATACCCGAATGCACTATAAATTAAATAATTACACCTAAATATTAAATAATTAAACCGAATATGTATGATCTAATTAATGTCTTCTAAAGAGAAGGATATTTTTTAAATGTAACACAACAAGCTGTCGTTGAACTATTCAAACCATTTTATCAATAAACGTTTACAATGGGTAAAGTTGTTTTGTGAAAAAGTAGACGACTAAGGACAAAAAGTAAGTAAAGAATATTTCAGCTCTAATATTCAAAGACCTTTTTATATTAAGCCGCAAAATTGCGTTTCAAATACGAAATAAGTAAGGCATAAAGGAGAAAGAGCATGAAGGTTTAAAAGAGCATTAGCATATTGCATCCATAAAAGTAATTCGATTTACCTTTACCTGTATTTACCATTAAATGGAGAAGGAACTCGTCCTTTTTTATTCTACAATAATTTTAAAACCGTCATTTTGGTTGGTGCGTTAAAAGAGGGATTCTTCTTGTAAATGTATTTTATATTACTTTGTTCTCGTATAGACATGTCACGTAAATAGAATTTTCAAATGTATATATTGCCAGAGCAGATATATTTATAGTAAATAAAAGTAGGTATTATTGGCTGTCCTTCAGATGAAATTGATTATCAAAATAAAACCCATTTTTATATTTTATTTTATCTTTCCGGAGACGAGCGTTTTACTAATTTACATAAAATGGAAAACTAGTTGGTATTCAAAAGAATAGAAATTAGATAAAATTAGATTCTATTTTTATGCATTTCATTTCTTTTCCATAATTGATAGAGTATTAAACAAAATATTATAGGATAGAGCCAAAAGAATGTTAGTTGTGCCTTTTTGGCTTACGCAATATTGATATCCTCTACTTCTATACCTCCAATAATTTTTTTCATCAAATATAACCATATTATCACCGTCTTCCTTTAGCAACCTCCCATCCATTGTGGGAGAATCTTTCATTAGTAGCCGGGAAATTATATCAGAATGTTCTGACGCGGCCATACCAATCACAATTGAATTTTTGAGCGAATTTGCGCTCAAACAATACAGTAATATTTATAGAAAATAGTTTACAGCACGTTGACTTCGAGAGAACAGTATAGAAACACAATGCTATTGAATAGACAGAAATAGAATAATTCGTAGTCTACTATGGAACGCAATGTCCCATTATTTCCATCGAAAGGGCTTAGTTAAACCAAAAGTTTCCGATATCAGAAAATATACTTCACCTTCAAAGTCCTCAACTCAATCCAGAAATTTTGACAATTAGTGACGTTAAAAAAAAGACAAGTATATTTTTATTATTAAAGACCAGATTGGCAATTGACTAGCCGCTCTGGCAAAAATCTGAATAGTTTGCTTACTGTCGACGAAAATGCTCTCAACAGATTCGGGAAACATCTATTGCTATTACATTTATTAATAAAATGGAGGGTACAGGATTTTATAAATTACTCTCTTTTTTATCGCTCAAGTCCAAATATAATTAAGCGTCTCATCTTTATTTTGCTTGATGCGTCTGTTAACGTATATACAGTTAACTTAAATAGCAAATATACACCTAATCCACATCGATATAGCTATATTTTATAATCAAAGAGTTAGATATGTATAAAGCAGATGTTGGATAAATGTTATTTCCTTCCTTAAAAATTTATTTTTAAATGGAGCATCATTCCCCACGTTAAATTCAGATAGCCTGTTTCTTATCTTAAACTATTCAAACGGGAATAAAATTTTAATATATTGATTTCATAAAATGTTTTCTATATTTAAACCAAACTTTCATGTAAGGATCCACTAAAATTGGAATGAAAACATTAGAACTACTTTTTAAAACTCATTTCCCTGATTGCACAACAAACTCGAATGCAGCAAACCAAACTCACACGAACTGGAACTCTCGAAAAAAAATACACCGACAGCCTCTATGGAAATCATTCTAAACCTCCCACCCCTTAACATTGTCATAAAGGTGGAGGCCAGAATGAGTGCATACAGACTGAAAATCTCCAACAACTGGAACCCACTGGGACATATAAAACATACCAGAATAACACATGAAGTAAATGATTCTATATTATATATGGGATCAGATCACATGATACCCCTCCTAACCTTCAACAGACTCTTCCAGGCCAACTGCAACTGGAACGAGGTAAATAAGAAGATAAATACTTGCTTAGCGGTCTGGTATAGTATACGGATGGATCTAAAACTAACAAGGGAACCGGCTCTGGCGTACATCATTGTCTCACTGGGAAAACATACTACTGTATTTCAGTCTGAGATATATGCAATCGAATTGTGTGTACGAGAGAATTTATAAAGGTAGTACAAAAAACAAACCATCCTAATTCTCTCAGATAGCCAAGCAGCCTTAAAGGCTCTTTATTCAAACAGAATCAAGTCAAAGCTTGTCTGGAACTGCCTTGGAATACTAAATGATCTGGCAACCCACAACAAGGTAAAACTAGCGTGGGTACCAGGGCACGAAGGTATCCAAGGGAATGAAAAGGCTGATAAACTCGCCAAAGAGGGATCAGATCTACCATTCACAGGACACGAACTTGTATTTGGAATAAGCAAAACCTATACTCGACAGGCAGTGAACAGGTAGATAATCACAAAACACAAATTCACTGGCAACAGATAAGAAGGCACATAATCACTTAGCTTGTGCTAAGGGGACCAAACCCACCCATGGCTACTGTGGCACTACAACTCGCAAGGCTTCAGATATCCACCATTGTTGGATTCCTAACGGGGCACTGCTGGCTAAAACACCGTCATGTGATAGGATTACACAATGATCCCATTACGTGTAGACTCTGCATGGAAGAGGAAGAAACCTCATACCATGTGATCTTCGAATTCAAAGCTCTTACTAGGCGACGTTTCATCCTTTTCGGCCTAGAACCGGAAAGAACGCCACAGGAACACTTGGTAGGGAACTTATTAAAACTAACCAAAGACACAGGACTATTCCAAAGATAGTACCTGAATACGGGGAAAGCAGGGGAATACAATAAACCCAAGAGGCCGCAGTGTTCTGGGCCAAACCTAACCAACCCTACCTGCATATAACCGACAAAGATAAAGATGAGGAACCATTAACTAATTTGGTTTTTTATTAGTAAATCGTATCCGTAAATCGTATCCATAAATCGTATCCGTAAATCGTATTCGTAAATCGTATCCGTAAAGCGTGTCCGTAAATCCTATCCTTAAATCGTATCAGTAAATCCTTAGAAATATAACTAAAAGACTGCTAGTGTTAACTCCAAGATCAATCCATTTCGAAAACTGAACTTAAAAATATAATAGACATAGATTCAGAAGTTTTAATAAATGATTCGCAATTATTATCAAAGATTAAAAAATTATAAAAGAGTATAACCAGTTTAAGAAATTAAATTGTATACTGATTTTCCTCCACTTTGTATGGCAATTTGGCAAGTACTCTAAAGGAATACTTAGAAAAACTAAATCATTAAGAGAGGGTGGATATTTTTAATTTTGACTTTTAAAGAACCTAATAAGTCTGCAAGCGCCCAATCTGTATGCCACTGTATAAGACAAGTGTTAATGGACACAAATGTAGATGTTTAATACTCATAGTACTAGACACGCAACTTCCTCAGCCGTTTATAGAAGGGGACTCAATATGGCTTCATCCTCTTTGTATAGCTTAATTTAGCCTTTTTCAGTTCCAAGATGGAATGACGTGTCAGATAGGTGGCTAGCATTTCACCCACAAAAATTTTGAAAGTATAACAGAGCTATTTGAGTATTTCAAATAAAGGCTTTTAGAGAGCCGCGGATCATGGTAGGGGGCGCTAGAGATCCTGACAAGACTGCAGCAAACAAATACTTGACTATGACTAGACAGAATCTGCGTCTGGTCACAGGCATTCTGACTGGTCATTGCCAAGTACGGAAGCTTCTCCATATCATGGGGCTGTCAGAATCCGCACTCTGCAGAGGGTGCGAACAAGAAGATGAGACCATCGAGCGTATCCTTTACGATTGCCCGACGCTCTCATTTATTAGAAGATTTGTGTTCGGCGAGTATCGGCTAACACCGGCCGATATAAGAGAAGCACCTCTTGACGACGTTGTCAACTACATTAAATCTGTAGGCTGGCTCACGAGCTAGGAGGTGCCTATCATCTTATGGGCCCTGAATGGGCCTAATGAGGCCTAAGTGCCGCGAGGGTAACCCACCCTCCACACGTTACAGATACAGAGACACTCTCGAAAAAGGTTGGGAAAGGTTACTTTAGATAATGACGTTGTCCATTTAACAGTTCTTAAAATGCTAAAAAGGGAAAAGTGGCATCACTACAAGTTTAGTACAGGAACTTTTGGAAGAAGATTTTGATAGATATTTTTTTTTTTAATTTTAATAGAAAAAAATAACAGAAACCTAAGTCTATATTTTTTCTTAACAGTCATATTAATCGTAGATTTGTCGGAATTGGGCTACGAACAATC